ATAATAGCGGGTCAGTTGACGGAAGTGGGCGCGCGTGTAGCGGACGTGCGTTCGTTCGCGGCGCGCGAGTGCGCGTCCATCTGCGCGCGCGCATCCGCCGCGCCACCCGGACCGGCCACCAGAGAGGTGCTGTACGCCGCGGCTTATGTCCTCGCTGAGTACTGCCAGTATGTCATAATTATCTATTTGTACATGAACAGATGCACATTATCCATTTATACATGAAGTCGTGGCAGCCTAATGACTTACTGTCTCTCAAGCAGAGGCCGTGGGTTCGAATCCGGGCGGGACCTTTGAGTATCTCGGAATTTATATGCGAAATTGAATTTGAAATTTACCAGGAGCATTTCAGTGAAGGAAAATATCGTGATGATACCTGTACGTCGAAGAAGGCTCACAGCCCTAGGAAAACGTGCGAGTTCCCTATCTGCACTGGGCCAGTGTGGCGGATCTATGGCCTAAACCCCCGCCTGAGAGGACACCCGTGCCCAGCAGTGTCTGCATAGTCTTCGAAATTCTCTGTACTATATATAATTTTATTATATATAATTTTTTTGTTATACGCGAATTTAATATGAATATTTATTAACGTAACCACCTCTAAATACAACATAACATGTGTTTATACATATTCTCAAATACAATACCCTGCTACATACTGTGCTTTTAATAATTTCGGTAGGTATAGTTTCTTGGCTAAAATTAGGCAGATTACATACTATTCTTGTTTATATAAAACATTTCATATGATCCGAAAGATGTCATGTCTTTGTGAACCTATGAACAATTCCTGGAATCCAATTCTTTAGATGAGAAGTAAAAGACCTTAAGTCCGTATTTTGGATTTTTGATGTTTTATAACATTTATTTTAAGGCTAAATATCACGCAATGGTAAAAAAACATTATAATAATAATAACGCACACACTCATCATAGCCCCGCACTAGGGAAACCCTGTGTCGCGGGTGCCATGGATACATACATAGACAAACACAAATTACACCCAAACTCACGAGAGAAATAAATGTAGGCCATACAAATATTTCTCCCGGCCCGGGAATCGAACCTAGGACCTCTGCGTGGCAGTCCGGCATGGTAACCGTTCGGCCACGGAAGCAATTAAGTGCTGTCGTCGTTTGTTTTCTATTCAACATATTTTATTTGACCTTAAGGTCAAATAAAATATGTCAAATAAAATTACTTTTAAAAGCGTAATAAAAGTTTCATTATCTTTAAAACACTGTAATAAAAAACTATTTAAAACTTAAGGTTCTTTACCTCTGAACTGCAACGATTGAACTGAAAAGATTGGTTTTACTTCCACCCACAGCGAAGAGCAAGTGATGCGCGAGTCCATATCTCCGCTGACGCTGTGCGCAGGCGTGGGCGGCGGCCACATGCGCGCGCGCGCCGTCTGTGTTCACGCGGCTCTGAAGCTCGCCGCCAAGTTGCTCAGGATCTATGAACAGAAAAATGACGTTGACGCAGCCATTGGGGTACTTGTATCACCTTTTCAGTAGAATAATGTTAATTGAAATTCTAAGACAACGAGATGCCTTGTGATGGAGTAGCTGCTATATTTATTTTTCATTTTATTTTATATACGTCAGGCCTTTACATGCATTAAAGTACTATTTCTATTTAGAATGCCTCATGTGTAATCTTAGTCAACAATACGATCGTCAATTTCCGTAATATTCGAATAGATTCGATGCTTGAAGTTCAGAAAACAGCAAAATGTAAAGAACCGCTTACTCGCCTTCTCCAATTTTTTAAACTGTCAATTTTAAGGAATTTCGAAAAACGTATAATGTTTTCTGATTGTTTGAGAAAAGCACTGTATATATCTCGGCGAGAACACGGGTTGCCTGACTTATATAATACATGGCTTCGCTATTCTCGGCCTTGCAACTCATACTCGTTCTGCAATCCTTTACTTTCCGACCTTTGCAATAATGTACTATTTCTTTAGTCTGTTTACATAGCTCTTTGTTAGTAGACATATTTAAAAGTTTAGAGCAGCGGACAGTAATGGATTTTCGTACCTATTTTCCGGCCTAAGCCGGCAAAGAGTTGCACGTTCCATAAATGGCAAATTTTGTGTGTTATTTTGTTGAAAATGCAAAATTTCCGAGCTTGTTTGAGGATAATCTCAGTACTGGAATAATGGAATATCTGTTCATATTTAAACGGGACCACTTCTAAGGTATCCTATTTACAACAAAAAAGGAGTCATCAAAATCGGTTCACATGTATTATCACGTCACATATATACAAAAAAAAAACATACAGTCGAATTGAGAACCTCCTCCTTTTTTGAAGTTTTAGAAGTTGAAGTTTACTTCAGGTGATCCGCGAAACACTGGCCGGCATGCGCCCGCTCCTCTGCAGCGAAGACATGGAGGTCCAAGAGCGAGCTCACAACGCCACCGCGTTACTGTCCCTTGTACTACGCAAACTCAGCCCTGAGGATGTCGCTTTAGCCCCCGAATTGCGAGGAGAAACCGAAACCACACTCATACCTCACGAGAACAGGTATTATAAATATTTTTCACAATTAAAATGGAAGTAAATTTATTAAGCAAATTCTGGTAACTGACTACTACTTCACATATATTTTTTATGACTGAAGTAGAATCTACATCAAAAATATAACACAAACACTTCTATTTTTTTTTTAATAAAAATATGATATGATGTATATAATTTTTTTGTCAATAAATTTAAACCAGCTCATTTCGAAAAAGCGGAAGCGCCAGTCGTTGGTCTGACGTCGCGACTAGTGAGGAGAAAAAACCATACTTATTTGAATTTGTGTGTTTTCAGTTTCTGTGTACAATATATAATTTAATTGTCTAATAAATTATATTAGGAAATACTTTTTGTTTTTGGAAAAGCAGATACGAGAGATATCTTTATATTTAAAAAATAATTGATAATAACTTGGAATAATGATTAAAAAAGTCTTTAAATAGCATGCACCCAATTCCATTAAACTAAAAAAACTTGAGACTAATATTAATTCATAGGAAATGAAACTATTTTTCCGGATTTAAATCGCGTATATTTGTTTTTTCAAACAAACCGACGTTTCGGGCCCTTTACAGGTCCCATGGTCACGGTTGACAACCGTGATGAAACGTGAAGTAAATCCAAAAAAAAAGAAGTAAATCCGGAAAAATAGTTTCATTTCCTATGTGTAACAATCGCGAAAACCTAAGAACTCGATAATATTAATTCATCAAACGTAATATCGGTTTGTATTCAGGAAGTACGTTATCACATCACAGGCTACAACTTCCTTTGAGGGCCTTTAAAAGTCAATTTTACTATTGTTTTTTTGTCAACAACTAGTTACAAAGATATAAAACTAATATGAATATTATGACCAAACATGCGTCTACAAGGTCAAATTTTATAAAAGGCTTTTGGGAAAAATGTGCTATTGTCAATTGAGGTCAAAGGTCACTGTTACATGTTATCTCGACTGGAAACAATATACAATCGTAAAATTTTGCGTGCACTAATGTGCAGAAAGAGAAAAAGAAAACATCGACATTTCGCCACTGATATACATTATTTAACAATTAGTAAATAAACTACAGACGACGACAGCACTCAAGCTGCACATTGACGGATCTTGTTCCGTTGCACTGGAAGCTATATTCGAACTAAAGTGATGCTTGATGTAGGGTTTTAATAGCAATAGAACTCCTTGTAATGTATATATTTTACGTCTTCTAAGATTTATGGGACTTTCCGTACGCCAGGGTTCATTGTGTTATTTAACTAAATTGCATATCTTTCTTACAGCAACGGCGGTCCAGATGGCGATGTGGCGCCAGTGAACGGCGAGGAACCATCACAAAGCTTTAGTGGAGGTCTCATCGAGGAGCTAGCTGACATGTTCGATGGTGAACTCAAGCCCGTGGCTCCAAAGGCGCAGAAGAAAGTGCCTATGCCTACTGAGTATGTTTATTTTTATCTTTGTGAGAACCATCAAAACTGTTTGATTTTTTTCCGAACCTGTAAACTTAAGCCGAAGGACATCCTGGTGACATTGATATTGTCTTTCCGGCTGAGTGCTGCCGTTAAAACCATTGCTTCCAATTATTGGTCAAAGTCTTCCCAGTGTTGCTATTTAAGCCACTATTTCTACCATTATTTGACTTTGTCAGTATTGCCTTTTGAGTCACTATTTTTACCAATTATTTGTCAAACTTGTCTCAGTGTTGCCATTTAAACGACTCATTCTACTAATTGTATATTAAATTTCAATCGACAATACCTACGATGTTAGTTGCGTGAGAACGACGTAAGGCTTATTATCACATAAGCTGTGTATGTAAGTAATTTTCAGGCTAGCTTTCTATATCTAATTTCGGTGACAATTTTTATTATTTAAATGTTCTAGAATATTATGAAGTATTCCTTAGTATTCGAGTGTAATATCCTGAAACATTTTTTATTTTACAATAAATTAGCCAAAATAAACCTAAAAATTACCGAAATACGATATTTCACTCGAATTCAGTAATAGAAATTAATTTTACAGAGATTATTAAATAACAGCTAGAAGAGAGATCCGTAATTTTATACCTATCGCACTTGGAGATAGGCGTGATGGTATGTATGTGTATATTTCAGTCTCGATTTGGACAAATGGATGTCTCGCGACCGCTGGTCGTCGGATAGTTCGAGTTCAGAGGAGGAAGGTGAAGGCGCAGTATTCGCCACGCCGCAGCCTGAAGTAAGGCCTTTGCAACAACTCACGCAGGAGGAGTTACAAATGGTGAGTTTACTTTTTGCCTTTGCTAGCGTTCCGTGAACGAATTACGATATAATTGAAAAAAAATATTTGACAGAAAATGTTTACAATTTCTTAATATCACGGTCCCCTCACTAGGCAAGCCGGAATCGTAGAGTTTTCCAGACACGGTTTTCATATGAAAAATATTTTTTTTTCTAAAAAGAATAGAAGTGGGTACTTATAAGAATAAATATGATGAGTAGATATATTTACAGTGCTTTTTTTTTATTGGGTCAGTATGGGGAAATTCGAAACCATAGAAGAACCATAGAAGGAACCATTACGTCTTTTTTTGTGAAAACAGTTTTGGCATGTAAAAATGAATAAAATTTATCCTTTTTTTTGTGCTGATTGACTCAGTTTTATGTAAGGATCATTTTTATGTAAGGCAGAAAAAAATGGGGACAACAGAAGTTGGTCATATTTTATAAAGTGTTTTTCATACAAAATGAATAAAGTTGATTGGTTTTTAATGCTGATAGATTCAGCTTCTTATAATGATGAATTAATTGTGCGGGATGAAAAAAAACCGGGACATCAGAAATTGGTCAAATTAAAAAAAAAATGTTTTTCATACAAAATGCAAGTGACGGGACGAACAAGCACACGACTTGTTCGTCCATCACTTGATAATAATAAAAAAAAACAAGTACTGTTAATTCCAGCCTGTTCGATACGTCAATCGTGTACCCACACACGTTACTATTTTATTTTTATTTACACACACGTTATTATTTTAGTTGTACCTACAGATCGTAAACATACTTTGAAATAATCTCAGTACTGAGTACTAAAAAAACCGATCTTTGTCATTCATCCCCTAGTTTGCCACCCTTAGAGGTGGAATATTGTCTTCAAATTGAATGGGAATTAAATGGGACCACTTCTGGGGTACCCTCTTTCCAACAAAAAAAGAATCCTCAAAAAGTACCAAACATCCATAAGTAAAAGGTACAGTCGAATTGAGAACCGCATCAATCAAAAGAGAAAATCGCAGTATTCTCGTGCTGTATGGAAAAACCTTTGTCAAATACAACAGGTATTTACGTATTGATATTTTTATACCAGAATGGCGGATTGGTATTTTGATTATGGAGTATAATTATGCAATAGAAATGAAACGCTGAACAATTCTGAACTTGAGACACAGATCAAACTACCTCAAACAGAACAATAAACACGTCCATTATTTGATGCCATTTTTTAAACACCGAACGGCTGCTTAAATTCTATAATTAATAGCGCGTGAGAGAACCCGCGCAATGCAACGCGAGAGCACCGCGAGATAATGCGATTGTGTACGTCCGTACATGGAGCAGCAAGCGTGCACACATACAAGCAGCGCTTTTACATTTGTATGGAGTTACGCTACGTGTCTTTACTATGTTTAAAACAACCGAGTTAAACCCTTGCATGACTAATGTTATTAATATTACAGCTGCGCGAGATCCGACGCGCAGAGCAGGCCAACAACCCTCATTACCTGAAGGACGACTCTCCGAGGTCGTACCAGCAGGACGAAGTGCCCGTTGCCGAGATCGCGCTTGAAGTCCCACTGCAAATACATAGTAAGTATAACTTGCATGCTTGGGCTGGTAATGCTTTTGTAATTAACGTTCTTATCGCAAGCGTCTTAGAGTTAAATTTAAATCCTAAGTGTCAAGCTCGATATCGTCGTCTTATAGTGAATACCTCGTATGTGATTTCTATGTAATTTTTCAGGACGAAGATAAAAATATGGTGTAAAATGTAGTAAACGGAATAATGTTTGTAGTTAGCATTTTAATTAGTTAAATTATACCTCTTTCACATACTACATTAATAATAATAACGCACAGACTCATAGCCTCGCATTAGGGAAACCCTGTATCGCGGGCGCCATGGACACACACAGAGGTAGACAACAACAAATTACACCCAAACTCACGAGAGAATTAATATAGGCCATACAAATATTTCTCCCGGCCCGGGAATCTAACCGAGACCTCTGCGTGGCAGTACAGCATGGTAACCGTTCGGTTATTGAGGCTGTTAAATTTCTTGAATAATGTGTTTGAGCAAGGAGTTTGTAGGTTTTTCTTCAACAATAACAACAACAACAGTAAAAACGAACTATGTGAAAACGCGTATGCGAGGTTTTAACTCTAACGGCGCGTGTACACGCTAAGAAATTTGACGTGTCAGCTACAGAAAAGATGAGAATGGTCTTGTACACGACAAGAATTTTGTTGGATCTTGCCACGAAAATATGTCGTGTCTGTTGCAGATAAGAAAATGACGAGTATGTTCACGAATACGAATGCTTTCGGGCAGACGTGTGTAAGATAAACGTGTCAGTACATTAACGAGAATACTAATTATTTTTCCTCCGATATAGGTGCATTACTATGGCAAGATAAATACGCATAAATCACACACTACCTAAGTATCTACCTAATAATAATTTTAAGAAATGTGTACTTGAAATTAATGTTTGTATTTACCATATTAATTTATTTTCTGTAATTGTCATTTCTTGAAAAGCTTCCTTAAGAATAATAAATATTTCTCTTCATGCCTCAAAAGTACGTCATTTATCTTTATAAATCTCTAAGGTTTTGTCGCACAATACGGGTCGTTCCTCTACTAAACTTATAAGTAAATCATGCATTTTATTAGTCGCAATGAAATTAGTGGAGCAACAGTAGTACTTTGCAACAGCAGTTCACGCGCATAAACGTTCGTTTACTGACAATGCACCCCATACCATAGCGGCAGAGCGCGTCGAGTCGCGCGTAGACAAGATTTTTATCTTATCCAGCGCCGAGACAGTGTACACAGTTCGTGTGTAGAAACGACACGAATTCTTGCAATTCTTGCGACGACTTTTATTAGCGTGGTCACGCGCCCTTAAGCGATGGTGTAGTCTTGATCTTCTAACACAGCCTTACCTATATCCACCGCAAAGGTGAAGTGTCGTACTGCCCTCCTTGTCATAACTAATGCATTTGCATTTTTGTACCTTTCTAGGTATTGCCATCTGATCTGAAAAATGACATTTACGCGGATTTTGCTTAACAATAAAACTGAAACTGAATAAGGTATATAAACCAATTGGTTTTTCTTATATTATGTAGGAGGTTATAGATCTCGTTTCTCAGACGCCAGACATATTGATTTAAACTTTCACAATTTTCACATATTATTTGATTTTAAAACTTAAGTCCAAAGTCGAGACCAAGGACGTTGCAACACGTTCGAAACGCCGTCGAGTTGAATTACAAATATTTTTTCATACACGATTAAGTCCCGAATTGAAAATCAAATAATGATTCGAGATATCGACTGTGAACTGGCAATCGGTCCTATATGAATTTTATCAACTTTACAGGACGAAAAAAAAAAATTGTCTGCGTCATTTATATAGCATCAGGTTTATTAAATAAAAGTTCGTAATTTTTAAATATTTTTGTTACTTTATTACCAGATGCCATAGAAATGATTTTTTCTTCAAAGTGTTCTTCCTTCCTGTAAAGTTGTCAAAATTGGGATAGTACCAGTTGCCAGTTCACAGTCGATATGCTAATAACTCAATTTCGCTAAAAAATTTCGACTACCTTAGTCATGACAAGGAGGGTAGCGTATTTGTGAATGAAAGCTACTCTTCAAAATATAAATACAATTAAATACAAAATTATTTATTTCTCCTCACAAAGATACAGGATGCATATTAACAATAAGGTACTCTGGGTCGTATTCCAGAACTCTACTCAATGCTCAAGTCAGGATTGCAATTGAAACACAAGCACTGAAAATACGACCCTAATGGCAGGGACTTGAGTATGATTTCGAATGCTTTAAACCATACTCAAATCCTGACTTGAGCATTGAGTAGAGTTCTAGAATACGAGCCTTAGATTAGTGACATAATAGGTCTCCAAGCACGCACCCCGCGTGTAGTATAACACATCAATTGAATAAGGGAGAGGGCGTGTATGCGTGCGTGCGTGGGTTGCGTGCGTGAGTGCATGCATAGTAATGTAATGCAATTAATTATCGTGCGTGGTATTCCCAAGGATGTACATCATTTCATCACACTCATTATTCTCACACACTCACTCGCACGGACGCACGCACACGCACACACGCACACGCGCGCACACACACACACACACACACACACACACACACACGCACACACACACAAGCACGCACGCACGCACGCACGTCCGCAAGCACACACACGCGCGCGCGCCCGTACATCTACGTACACTTACATTAACACGTACGTTTTTAGCATAATTGATAGTATTTACAATTTTTATTGCTCAACAGTGTGTTGCTTTTTTCTTTTAAGATTATTTAACTTTACTTTTACTTAAGACTACTCTGAGAGGGTGAAAGCCTGGTGAGCTGTAATACAAGTTTAGTTGCCTAGTACGGTCTGTAGTCTCTCGCAAGAGGTACAACTTTTAAAATTGTTAGTCTATTATAAAATACGTGTATATTTATTTCCTTATGTTGAGAAAATAAACCATTATTATTATTTGCTCAGGGAGCGTGTTCGGACGGAACCTATCACGGCGCAGTTGTTTGCACAGGCTGGTTTCTGCGGATGTTGGATGGTTACAATCCGTATTGTCGGACATAAACATGTAGTATCGCAAAAAAATTGTATGCATGTTTGGTTAGGTAGTGTTTTGATCTATCTGTCTGGGTTTTATTAAATGTTTTCTTGAGGTATTGGTTTTCTAATGGAGTTGACATGTTCGATAATGACCTAAACCCCTAAATAAATAAAGAGTAAAAAAGACATTCTTTTTTATGATAACACCACTAATGGCGTACGTTTTTTTTCTTATAAAATCTTCTAACTTCATTTCTACCTCTCAGGACTTGTTATCATTGTCCAAGAAAAGGACTTCGATTCTATTGATTTAAAGTAACTCGTGTCTTCTGTACAAAACTAAGGACACAGTTTGTATTATAAGACAGGCTGCGATTTATTGAATGAACTTTGACTTTGATTAAGTAAGCAAACTCTTAACTGACTCCTGTTATCTAGTCTTAGATTTTTACACATGAACAACAAACTAGGTTTCTTAATGCTATAATAATTCATAAAAATATATGTGGAATAACCTCAATAAATAAATTATTATTCACTTCAAAAATTTTTTTACTTTTGACACGGCGATTACGTAATTCTATTATTTATTCCAAAGTTATGTTTCAGCGATAATAACAACGAAATGCATCGAACACTAACTAGACTTAACGCCTTTACTAATCAGATTCTTTTTGTTTTAGCTAAGAGATCTGATAAGTACTTAACGTCAAGAGAGAGTTCCAAGAAACCGAAGAAGGAGAAGCGGCCGACTAAGAAGCGAAAGAGCAAAAAGGAACGGCATTCCACTGAGACGGAGAGCGAAGGTAAGTTCATTATTCTCATCATTATTCTATACTATGTATACTACATTTAAGTTAGCGACCTAGCATGGGCTGCTCTCTTTTGCACTACTTCATAAAAATGACAAGGACATAAGATAGAGGTACAAAGGTATGTGGGCGTTAACAAGCGTATATAAGGGCTGGTGTATAAAGGTGTTAAAAATAAATGAATATTTTTAAGAAAGTCAAAGTCACCACCAGCACAACAATACATACAGTAGAAGTGTTTAGTTTGCGTGGCATGTAGGTCAACAGTTCGCGGAGTTCCCCAAACTTGAGCTCAGTTCGCCATTTTCGCTTTGTACGTCGTACGTGTAAATCGTAGAATATTTTATATCGCTACTTTGGAGTGCAAAAATGATAGTCGCACTTGTAATATTATCATCATGAAGTCTTCTTTTATTTATTTTTTGTTTATCGTAATGATTTTTTTTGTTACAAGAAACTAAATTAAACCTTACGTCGCTGTAATATGGTCTCTTCCTTTTTTGGAGAATTTAGAATAGATATATTATATTCATTTATATCTATTCTAAATTTTCTATTAAGATATATTAATTTAGAATAGAAGTATAGAAATTAGAAAGAAAATTTAGAGAATATCTCGAACTCGATGTCGTTCAGCGAAAAATTTCAATATGAAAACAAAACGTCGTAACTTTCAATAATAGGTATTGATGGTATTGAGCTTTCAAATATATGCCAATATAGAATTGAAATATATGAGTAATCCAGAATATGTTACTTCTTTTTAAATTTTAAACTACGACCAATCATTATCAAGATTCCATAGTGTTTCAAATTATGAATGTGTGAGTTTTGGCGACATTGGTTCTGATAGTAATCGAGGCTTAAGTCACTTCCATTGTTTTTTTTTTCTTCCGTGGGAGTCACAGATAAGTAGCAAATGGAGAAAACAACACGAGTCCACACGCTACAGAGCCAATTTAATTAATTGGCGTGTAATTGTGAATGCTGCTTTAGTGGCTTATCTCTAACCAATCACATGCGGCTGTGTGTTAGTCTAGGTCGCTAACTTAAAAGTTTTAATCAAGTACAGTCTGTCTTTTTTTAAAGACGGAGTAAAGTGAAATTTGCAGGGTTGCCAGTTTTCTTAAAAGTTCATATAGGCATGTAGTTGTAGTCGACAATTTTATTGATAAGATAAACAAGGCAATTTTTTGCCAAAAATGTCGTAAATTGTGAATGTTACGACATTCTATTAATTGCGTTACTGCCTTCTTAATTCTTGTTTTTACGGTTGGCCTACAAGTATCGAAATCAATTTTTATTCATATACATTTTATTAAGGATAGGCGGATTTGATTATCTACATTGAATTAAAATTAAAACCTTTAAAATATGTGTCCTCTTTATATTTTTATTTTTATTATTTAAAAGATATAGTTCTAATTGTAGAGTATGTATAATATGAACTTACAAAAAATGACAATTCAAATGAATCTGTGCCCAGCAGTTGGACGAATAACGAGCCGATGATGATTCAAATGAAACAACTTCAGCTATTTATTGCATAAGCGCAACCAACATTTAGTCGATATCGATAGAATATTTATCGACTGCAATCACTAGCTGCTTTGAAGCGAGCAACACTTGCACAATGTACTGTCATTTTATTCCATTTTAAAGACAGACTATAGTCAGTTGAATAAACACATTAGTATACAACGAGAGCAACAAATTATTTGGACAGTGATTAATAGTGAGTAAATTTGCAGACTCAGCGGCGGAGTCGGTGAGGCCAGCAGTGGCGGCGGGCGGCGAGCTGCCCGAAGGCGCGGCGGCCAGCGACGACGAAGCTCAACCGCCGCCCGACGACCCGCACCGCGCGTTAGATCTCGATCTCGACGTGTGAGTACTGCACATATTTTATCCGTCTTTCGGCTGCGATTCCACCGGACATGTGCGAGGTAGCGAGGCCGAGTGCGAGGAAAAAATCCACCAATAGGATTACTTCATTTGCCTTGCCTCGCTAAGCGCAGCTCTGGTGGAAAAGGAGCTAAGTATTTGTACATACAAAATAGAACGAAATATGTGCAAGGAATGTGAAACAGCAGAAAAATTCTCGCACCGCTTAGCTACCTCGCACAGCTTTGGTGGAAGCCATCACACCGTTTCACAGCGCCGCTACACATCCTCGCACCGCTTAGCGTCGCACAGCTTTGGTGGAATCGCAGCTTCAATCAAATAAGGCCCCCATATACATATAAGTTATCTCTAAAAAACAAAATAAACCCTTCATACTGCGTAAATACTTAAGGAAGAGCATCAGTTTTAGAATAATAACAAAACTACATCTTTTCTATAACGTGCACTCAGTACATTTTCGAAACTCGCACACGATCCGCTAATACCAGGCAGAACCGCCACGCTTCCCCTCTGTCCGCTTTAGCCCTGCTTCGGCCGTCAGACATGGAAGTTGTGTCGCTTCGGCTTACACACGGCTGTAGACGCACACATACACGGAGCACGTAGAATACTTAAAATCAATTAGCGTCAGAAACTCGGTGCCCTCTTAAGGGTTCCAGCTAAGCATTTGCGTAATAACTTACTAATTCATTTGCCTGTCGTTCTACAAAATTACAGACGGAACTCGTTTGTATGGTGTGGGAGCAGTAACTTTAACAATGTTTCCGCCCGTTACGATTTCGATTTATTTAACACTAGCTGTACATGCGTTATGAAAGTATTATCTAGTTCATTTTTTATCACTAAAGGCGAGTTACTTTGCTTGTATAATGTGTCATGTGTGTATTTGCGTGTACAATGTCATTTAGTTTTGTCAATGTTTATTTATTATTGTATTTTTTTAGGGAACTGTTCTGCTTATAATTATTTAATGTAGTTTCTATCATATTGTGATACAAGCTGTTTGTACCCTCTAAAATAGTAAATAAATAAACCAGAATCGAGAGTTATAAACCGTTATATGCAATATATATATATATACAATACGTAATTTTGACGTTATTTTAAAATATCACGATTGGTAATTGCGATAGGTATGTGTAATTGACCAATAATTGTCCTCTATATTTCACCATGGTTGAGTTGGTGATAACCCTCTTTATATCATTGTGATAATTATTTTAAACATGCCTCATTTTTTTTTAAATTATCATAACATACTATGTCGATCTATTTACGCTACAACATAGACCATGAATTATTACAACTGATCTTTCGAAATATTTTCAACAGACCGTTACGAGAAGAAGAGTTGCTAACATCTAGAATACATCAATACCCAACGCCAGAAAGTGGTTTATTGCCTTTATTGAACAAGAAGCCGAAACAGTCCAAGACGAAATCAGAGAAGAGCACTGACAAAAAGAAAAAGAAAGAAAAGAAGTCCAAACACAATAAAGAGGTAGACTTAATGTTAACGGATACTAATAAAAATGAAATAGGGGAGAATATGGTCACGGCAAACGATAAAGTAGAAAAAAATAAATCCAAGATCGTGAACGCAGAGGGAGATTTCAACAGCTCTAAGACAGAAAAGCATAAGAAGGCAAAGAAAGAGCCAAAGGACAAAGAGTCATCGAAGAAAAAGAAGTCTAAGAAAGGTAAATATATTTCGTAAACTTTATCTTTTAAAGGGATCAGCCAACCTGACCTCAGAATGGCTGTCCACTTTATTACTTTAATAATTATATTCATTCATTAACACAAAAAAGCCTTGGAAGCCTAATGAACTTAACTACAGATTAGAGTCGGCAGACCTTATGAATTGTTCTGTGCGTTTGTTACAGATCTTTGTTTTTGGTTTTTACGGTTTTTTTGCCTTAGCGCCATCTGTGAGAGATCTTTGTAAGTTGTTCTTCACTCAACTCCAGAACTCGAGTTTCTACAAAAAAATCCTTTAAAACCAAGAACAAAGATCTTCGAATTCTGGATTTCGATTGATGATTATAATAAACTAGTGAAGTAATTTCACAAAAAAATAAATTAATATCATGGTAGCATAAACTCATAATATTCATTGAAATCAAGATGTTAAAAGATGTTAATTGAATCTCTACTTTATCTAATACTTTCCATCACATTTTAGCTACCGAACAGCCGCTATTTACTAATTAAAAAAAGAAATAGAACAATGCAATCTTGTTGGTTGTTTCGACACATCGCACATGAAATCAAATACTGTCGTAACTCAAAAATTATATGTAGAATTGAGAATTCACGATTTGAAAGTTCAAAAAATTACTGAATGGAGCCAATAAATTTATATTCTAATTTGTAAATAGATTATGTATATTAAAAAAATCCCATTATTCGCAACAAGATTAATTCAGTATTTATTTATGAATTTTCAAATCGTGTGTAGTGTCTGCGACTTGACATACCTACATATTGTCTCGTGTGTCCGCGCGTGGGTACACCCAGTCAGTATCACGAGGGCCGTTGACGAGAGTGGACGGGGTGTTATGCATTACATTGCAATGACAGTGGTCTCGGGGGCAGAAGCAAACATAACATCGTGTTTTCTTAATTCCACTATTTTTGCGTTACGACAGTATTTTGCTTCACGTGCGACATATCTCCTCCGTTTTGGCAGATGTTTTGAACGTTATTTTAATATTAAAATTTTGTTTTTCATTTTCAGACAAGCACGAAACAAAAGTGGGTTACGAGGAAGCTCTAGGAATATCCACACCTAGTAAAGAAGTTATATAGTGTATATTATACTTATAATTTTAATATTGCTTAAACTTATATGTCCTCCTTTATTGTCACCTTTTCTACCCTCTCAGTGCAATTGTTAATTTTGAACAATTTAGTGTCCAATATTTTTATTATTACTTTCGCATTAATTACTTATAATAATTATTGGCATTGTTGTCATTCATAACTCCAAGTGAAACATGTCCAACAAATAAATGATATGATATTTCATAAGTCAATATAGTTACAAAAGCAAAAAAATATCTATATAATCATGTACAGTTTTATTAAAAGTGATTTATGAAATACAAGACGTGGTTTTAGTTACAAAATTAAGTATCAAATACAAAATTGTGTCAAATGCAAAATTAAATATACAATACAAAAGTTTATACAAATAATTTCCAAAAGACAATAAACAATTGACATAGTTTGCTGGAACAATAAGGATGTCGGTGTCCCCAATGTGTCTTGGGGTTTACTATTGTATTTGGGTGTACAGAGTTTGGGTTTATTGGATTCACAGAATTTGAGCTAACACCGCATCCGTCTTTGCTTTCGCCGCCACCATCATCGCCTTTTTGTGTAGGCAAATTTTCCCTTCGAACAAAATTATTATGTTTCATCGCGAATCTTTTTGTTGCTGATAAACTGGCTGTTACGACAGGAGATAGTGAGGCATTTAGTAGCTACACTTATTTATCGCAATCTTCGAAGATCGCAATGGAGAAACTAATCGTTCTCGACTTTCATTATTTTTACAAATATAGATGGATAAGCGTCCGGAGTACATTTTGTAAGAGTGTGGAATTGAAGAAAAAACCAAAGTAAGACCCCGGCCATAAGAAAATGGAAACTGGCTGGTTAGCTAGTCTAGGTAATGTCGAATCAGAAAATCTAAAAAAGATAGTCGACGGTAAATTTCTTGTCTTACACGGCAGCCCCTTCTTTCCTATTCCAACGCTTGTTAACGCTCACTTACCCTTGTGCCTCTATCTTACGTCCTTGTCATTTTTATTAAGTAGTGCGAAAGAGAACAGGCTATAATTGGTCGCTAACTTAAATATAGTATAATGAAATTTCAAATACTCGATTATGAGTCACGATGAAATATGGGACTTTACGAAACACGCTTACAATGCAATGCTGTTCGATGCAGCCTAGTGGGGTTTGTATATTAACCTGAATTCATAAATGTGTGGATTCTGGTTAAGAGAGCGTAGCCTGATGTAATAGGGTGCTAAGTACAGTCGGAGCATATTATACTGGACACTTTAGACCAATATTGTCGCAAATGGCATAAAGTTGAATTTATCAATCTTGACGTGCACTTGTTCCTGTACTATGCAGACCTGTGTCTCACCATGAGCCAATAACTCGAGAGAACTGCTAATCGCATACAAGACACGGGTATTTAGTACCTATTGGTATACTAGATGTCGCGACGAGTACCAAATAGCTGTTTTTGTAACTAATTTGTTTTACATGGACAAGCTGTAATTTATTAAAAGCTACTCAAATTTCCAATGATAACAAACAAATCAACTAGATGGCGCTTATTGCATAGATTTTTATGGATAGATCCGGCAATTATTTAATTTTGTTTAGTATTAGCGCCATCTACCTATATTAGGAAGCGTTAATTCATGAGTTTGTAACACACAACGCCATCTAGTGACCCGCACATTGGCCAAAATTCTGAAAATAATTTTCGCTCATTATCAATATTTGAATTATATTACAAGGATCCTTATATTTCTTAATAAATGGAATTAATTGATATCCACGGTCAATCACATAATACAAACTACTCCCAGGCAATTGATTAGCGTCAACCAAATCGATGCGTTACTTTCTCAAACTCGTATCTTATAGAGTGATTATTCAGACGGCAAAACTTTCTATTTATTAAAAATTTCTTATCAAGGGTGTTAATTTGGATGCATTACTTTAAGAATAGGTAAAAAGCCAGTGTGTGAATATGAAGGAAATGTGACGTGAAATCAGCTTGCAAAATTTGTATATACAATCTATTTTTTGCATTTCAGTAACTTTGTGCTTTAAGATACGAGTTTGAGACGGTAAGGCGACGAAATATAACACGGAATTTTGACCTTTTTCAGAATTACTATCTGTAGTATGGAGATTAGCAGTCCTCTTGGGTTATTGGTCCATGATCTCACCTATCCTTATGTCCACTTGCACCAAATTTAAGTACGTCTTAAACCAGCGCCTAAATTGATAAAACATTCTTAACACAACACATTGAGAGTGTCTTTTGCATTGCAAGGATTGGTTTAAGACATATCTACTTATTACTTAAGTTTAGTGCTATTGGACTAATTAGTCTTATACATATTGAAATTGGAGGTACACACCACGAACAATCCTCATTCTTCACTTCAATCTCAGCTTGATAAGACTCAGCTGATATTTTTTTTTGTTCGTGTTGCATGAACATATTTATAAATAATTAGCTGTTCGGAGTGAAGATACTAATTAATAAGATTATAAATATATAAAATAAATAAAAATAATAATTTTATTAAAAACAAAGACTTCGAAACTGCTTGATCCACTTTTGTTGTAGTCGTTGCCGCGGCCTGTTCAACGACAATCGAGACAAGAATGAGACTTCTCGTAAAAACGAATCACATGAGCCCAAATACAAGGCAGCTGCTATGCACTATTGAGTAGTTCTTTACATCTGTCCGTCCTTTCCATCATCAAACCAGCTCGAGATCATTAGAACATTTTATGTTCTTTGAATCACTTAACGGGAAGTGGGTGTATTCAGTAAACCGGATTCATTCCCTAATTTACCAACCTTAAAGGCTGAATATTCTCTTCAAATCCAAATGGGGCCACGACTGAGGTACCCCCTTTCTAACCCAAAAAGAATCATCGAAATCGGTTCCCAAATTTCGAAATAATCAAAACACAAAACAGTAAAATTTTTGAAATCAGTTAAAAAGTGCCTATATGCAAGTATTTTATAGTAAACATGACAAAAAGCACACATAGGTACATACATACACAGGTGTCCAATATCGTAGATACATTGGGCAAATTTAATAAACAACTATTAAAGTCCTTAAAACGGTTTGCCAAAGTCGATATAAATATTTGAATCTCTTACTAATTAGCATTATCTACATTTGCCGCCACGGCCGCCGGCATCGCCACCTTCTTTTTTTCGATACGATATTTTCACCTATAAAAAATACGTAAATTTAGGAGTAGTTAGTTAGCTTAAAGAGTCCAGGTAACGGTAAGACGCTTTGAACAAAACCAACGTCCTTGATGCAAACGATTAGTTTTGATGGTTTTAGCTGTCTCATCTGTAGACATGTAAGATAATCATTTTAATATCTTTCTAATCTTAACTAAATGCACAAAAATGTAAATAATTAAAAGGAAATAATAATGCTCTGGCCACACAGATGCGGCCGCGGAAGGAACGCTTCCAAGGGCGCAGGAATTTTTTGTAATGTACGAGTTAATATGAACCCTGCCACATTGAAACCGGTGAGGCGGTGCGCGATCGTCGCGTCAAGTAATTCCAGAATCAAAAACTCAAACTCATACATAGTTCAAACGATATTGTCTCTTATTGTTTTAAGTAAAAAGTGCAAAACGCAAATTATAAACACGGAAGCTATCTCTCTCCGTCTCACCTACACTACCAATAATTACCTCCAAAATAGACAACTCTAAGCTAGAGCTTTAATGAGACTAATTAGAATTAGTTGCATGTTTAGTGATATTGGCATGTTTCAAAATAGGCCAGAAATAATAATATCAATAACAACTGATTTCGCGCGACTGCAGTGTTTTTACATAATTCGCGGCATAACTTCTAATTAATATCGTTTGTGTTTGAGTTAAGATTATTTAAAATGGATGAAGGACGATTTACATGTCTAGTTAGTAAACTTGTGACTGATTTTCAATTATTGAAGTATAAAGGAACGAATAACGAGAATGTCAAAGTGTCTACTTACACTTACCATCACTTACTTAATTTCTATAGTATATTTTGTAGTACATAACATTTAATGGATAATATTTAATTTTTGTCTTCGAAAAATTCTTTCAGACTGTAATAACACTAGTTTGTTTCCTTATAAATTTGCTAATAAATTTATCTTGTATTTGATAAAAACTTTTTAAACATATAAATATTGATAATATTGATAATGATTAATTTGTAATTGTATTCTTTTTAAGTTTAATAAATACATAAATTCTATATTATAGCAGATATTTTGTTCGACGAATCAAAGACGCTTTCTTACGAAAACCCGTACCTAATTCATCCCCTAGTGGATGTACTAAATATGGGTTTTTAATGGTTTAAACTTATACGGTAGATGGAAAGGCGTACCTATCAAATTCGTCACTTTGAGGGGACATACTGGGTACGGTATTTCCGTTGTTTAGCCCCTTAGAAAAGCGTACCTACCTCGTCTCTCCTTGGGGGACGTACTGTATACGGAAAGCCATATAAGCGGCTGGGCCCTGGCGAACGCAAGGTGGGTGCGAGCGCGGGTGTTAATACATTGAGTTCTATGAAACCGTCCACACAGAGCGTCAGTGGCGGGGCGCGATCCGGGAGAGGGACATTAACGGAGCTTCCACGGGCTTGGACGTTAATTTTTTTACAACTGTGGAGTGTGTTTTAATTCAATTAAGTTCCTAACTAATTCGACCGAAAAACTTATACCATTGGTGCAATCATATATCACATCCAGTATATTTAATACAACTAATAGAAAGTATAAAAACAGTTCAAAGAAGGAAATTATTTGGGAAATGATTAGGCCCACGACTTGTTCATCCCGTCATTTGGTATCGTAAAAAAAAAAGAAAACCTGGACTGCAAATAGCAGTATGTGTCCGACCAAAACGAAGTAGATACTAGGAATGTATAACTTTTACAGGATTAGCGCTAATATTAAAAGAAGTTCTTATTCATCACTATCCGACAGTGACATGGTGCTTTCTTTATCTGTATTGAAAAATTAGAGTATGGAAAAAAGGTTGAAAATGAAGTGGGGCGTGACGCTTTTGGTGTCACACAGGCCGTCTTCGTGCCACTGTCCCACCACGAAGTAGGCGCGGGACTGCTGTGTAGCACGCCTCGCCACGCATTCGCTTCCCACAGGTCTGCTCCCGGACCGCTTTTCCCGCTATGCGAACCGGGGCGTCTCTTACTCCGTGTGGCTATACTCGAGTTTTTGAAGTTTCCGCCAGGTTGCACTGGCATTGCTCG